AAATTAGCCAATTTATACGTCATAAATAAGACTGAAAAGCCCTGCTTTATCAGYTGGAGAGAAAAATACTGTTATCTTGGTTGACAAAATGCTTGTACTAAGATTCCAAGTGCCTTTTGGCAGGAATTCATCAGAGCAGATGTATTCCTTCTATCAGGCACCATTTGCTTCAATTATTCTTAATGTTTAATGGCAGAATAATTGAACCAAATGGTAATATATACTTCCATAAAATAGTTTCATCAAATGCTTTAATTGCTGGGTCTCTGTAACTGCAGTGTCTGAGTGCTTTATTCTGCTTATTGACAMTTGACAGACCATGATGCTAATACACTGCTTTCATAAATCTCTTGATGAGCTTTATCAGAGGTGAGCACTAAACCTGTGGAAACAGTTTTTCCACTGGTAAAAGGGCTGGGAAACTGGAACAAACAGGGGGAAGAGCAAAGTGACACAAAGCTGCTTCTTTATGAGCCAGGCACTCCTGGGCAGCTGCTCTGCAGGAGGAGGAAGGATGAGAGAGGCCACACYTATTCTGTGCTTTCAAGGCCTGCTCCAAACATCTTCTCCTGCTTGAGAGCAGCTTGGTCTAAATGGCAAAGCAGTTTTTGTTTTCTGCTCACTGGGCATTGAAGCGTTTGTGCTCAAAAGGTTCTTCCTTGGGCTAAATCTCCCTAAACCAACAAGAGATGGAGATAATGTGGGGTCTAACCCACCCTYCATGGAACTGGCAGAGCCCAAGGATGAAAATGAAGGTTCAGCACACTCCTGGAAATCTGGAATGCCTGGACAAGAGCAGCAGGAGGATCCAGGAGATGGAGTGAGCAGGAAGGAGGTGCAGAACCAGGGGAGAAGGTGCAGGGAGCGGTGGATGACTGCACTCCCTGCTGCGTGCAGGTAATAAACACCTGGAACCAAGGAATAGTCATAATTACAGGTCAGGGGAAGCCTTACCATCCAGAAGAGGATTTCTGGCTCCCTGAGGCACTGCCTGGMTGTGGTGCTGCTCGTTTGGCCAATGCTGGGCAAAGAGATCCCTGATCAGGGCTGCTCAGGCAAAGGATGCAACAGCCCAGCTGCTGTGCATCCAGAAATGGCCACAAGACAGCAAGGAGGGGAATCCACTTCCTCCTTGCTTCTGGGAAGTTCCCAGGCTATCAGCAGCAACAGATTTCATTTTTAAACTGATGCAAGGGAAAAGCACAGAAGTGCCTTCCAGGGTTATCCATGTCCTGATCTCCAGACCACCAAAATCACTGCAGGGACTGGGACCTGGACACGCTCCTGCAGGGAGGTGACATCCCAGCCTGTGCCAGAACAGGGAGTGCCCAGGAGGACGGAGCAGCAGAGAAAACAGCAAGAAAAGMGATTCCCTCCCWGGTCCCTAAAGAGCCCCACTCTGCTGAGACACACCTGCTTTAACTGCAGCACCGAGCAAAGACCGACACTGCAAAATCCCTCGTGAAGGATTCTGCTGGGGATTCTGAGAGGATTAAACAGAGCAGAAGGAATGGGGAAGAGATGCATTTTTAAAGCTTCTCAATTAGTTTCTAATTGATGGCATCCAGCCAGTCTGGAGACACAGGGAAGGGAGAAAAATCAAGGGGCCACAGCAGCTGCTCCCAGCCCAGAGTCCCCCCAGTGCCAGCAGATCAGGGCTGTCTTCACCCTGCCCTCCCACTGGGACTTTAGACCTGAGAAATGAAACATTACAGTATTGTGAATGTATTTACTATTTTGTTTTTATCAATCTGTTTTTTTTTCTTTTCATTTTTTTAATTGTTTTTTTTCTGGGAAAAGACAGAATTCAATGAAGATTGAAAGGGTGAAGTCTGTGGAAAAATCCTACCCACTGAAGTTTTCCACTGAAGATTTTCACCTTCCTAGTACAGTCTGTGCCTGGCACAGGATCCATCAGGGCAGTTCATTTGCCATGTCAAGTCCATCCCCCAGCACTGGAGCACAGGGAGAGGAGTCCTTTGATGGTCAGTGGCAGCTCTGCTGGATCCCACTGAAGGGCAGAATCCTCTGTGGGCTCAGGACCAGCTCCCCCCATCCCAGGATATTGCAGCGGTGGGGGATCAGCCCCACTCTGCTGCCAAAACCCTTTGAACGGGCCACGAGGTGGGTTTGGCTAAGCAGGCACCAAATGTCATCTGCTGCCTGAACTGTGCTGCCCTCCAGGTGAAGGATTTAATGGAAGCTCAGGGAAGGAGAGTTGTTCCGGGGATTGAGCTGCTCAGTGTTGGCCTGGTGGGGTCACGGAGCCAAACGGAGCAGTGCTCCTGACCAAAATGGCATTTTCTAACCCCATTCACCGACCCATGTGTGAAACAAAGGAGGAGCATCCCTCCTAAGGACTCGTTGCATTGCCCTTTCTCACCTGTTATTTTTTTGTTTCTGCTCTGGAGCAGCAGTCGGCACCCAGCTCTAAAGAGGCTGCCACTTGCAATTACAGAGGGAAGGTCTTGAAGGACACGGAGCTGAAACGGAGAGACATTTGAAATAAACTTAAAGGGAACAGCTTTGTTCGGCTGCGTGGCCTTTGGCTGCCCTGTAATTCTTTATGTCGATTGTAACAGAAAGATCAAATTTCTCATTTTCTCACCTCTGCATCTAGAGAAATGCAAAAATTCTTACACTTGATCTCTCYGAGCCCTCCTTTCCCAGATTTGCTTACCAATACTTTGTCACTGTCACCTCCTTGATGATGACCTGCTTGTATTCATCCGTGCATTCAGAAGARTTGCTCTGGTAAACACAAAGGTCCCAGTTTACAAATTCCATCATGCTGTGCATCCCAAAAGCTCTTAATTCATGGASCAACCTATTTCTATCAGTTGCTTCCTACTCTCCAGGCTTGGCTATCCCTGTTAGATTTCGTTACAACTTGGCATGGATTTAATTAGGAATTGAGGGCCAGGCTATTCCCCCATCTTTGCAAACATGAGGAAAGTCCAGAATGTGGCATCTCCTGTACTAGGGAATATTGTCCTCATGGCTTCGCTCCAAATTTCTCATTCTTGACAAAGTGGCAGGACTCCAAGGACACAAGGAGGGCAGATGTGGGGAACCATCACAATTCCAGTGTGGAGGATTTTCCTTGCAGGTAAGGTGGGGAACAGCACATGGGAATCAGAGCCCTTCCAGGCTCAGTGAGGATCCTCCTGCCATCCCCACCCCGTCCTGGGAGCTCCCCAAGATTTCTGCCCCCAGCAAGGCCACTTTGTGCTCAGGAAAGAGAACATTGAAGGGAGAGCTCAGTGGAAGCAGTCTGTGTCCATCCCCACCCCGAGATGCACACAGGTCCTGTCTCCAGCCTAAAGCTCAGCCAAAATACACAGAAAACCTTCAGAAAACCACAGAAAGCTTCTTCAAGGCTCTAAATCCTMCAGAAGAGGAATGTCCCCAGGACATGTGGAGCACCATGTGCTGTGAAATACTCTCCTGTCACCATCCCTACACCCATCAGAACCCAGGACAGAAATGCACGAGGYCAAATTCCCTTATGCACTCAAAATCCTTCTGCAATCTGCCACCAGGCTGTGGATAAGTCAAATCTTACCTCGCWGCAGTTATCTCTGAGGAGGAGCACGCAATAATCCATGTATACTTTTATTTTTAATCTTTAGCTGGTACTTTGTGAGACTGAACAAAGACACAGACGTGTTGAGGATTCTACCAAGGGTGCATCTGTCTCCAGATGAAAGGATCCTGACATCAAACTGACTGCAGCTGGGCTGGAAGAAGTTTTAAATCACTGTGATCAACACAAGTTTTGCACCAAAGTACAAATACACACGCCGTGATTTCCTCTGGGTGACAGGCAAATCCTGYTATTCAACTTATGAATGGGCCTCATTAAGTGGAAAAAAAAATTGTTGGTGCAACCTGTTCCTTTTTAAATTAAACATATTAAGGYTGATAGATACCCCTAATTCTCTGCTCAGCCTTTAATGCATTGCAGTAACACTGCTCCCATTGTTAGGTAAAGTCTTGAGTTTGCATAATCTGCTTTTCATTTCCCTGGCAGCTGCAGATCATTTTTGGTTGCTAAATTAAAAACAGTTTCTTTAAAGAATTCACCAGATCTGTTCTCCTTTTCCCTCCCTACAAGTTAGGGAGAAAAAAAGAAAACAAAACCTTCCCAACAAGCATTAAATCCCATCAGCTCAGGCTGGAAGGTCACCTCATCCATCCCTCTGCCCTGAGGCAAAAATCAACTCTCCTTAAGCCATCCCTGACAGATGCTCACCTAACTCTAAAAAACATCCATTGATGATTTCACAGCCCATYCCTCAGCTTAGCTCATGCCCACAAGTCTGACCTCAATGTTCCTTACCCCAGCCAAAGCTCTYCCCTGCTCATCCTGCCCCCACTCAACTTGGGGAGACTATTTCTCCTTGCAGAAGAGCATTTCTCACTTTAAAACGGRGAAATGCAACTAAAAACATCCTTCCCAGGGAGACCAAAGCACAAGGAGAGAAATGACCCATACAAACAGAACAAACCAGTCCACACCACCACACTGAGCCTTTRGTTATAGCCATCTCACAGTGCATGGTGCAAGTGAAATACCAAACCTTCAAAGATACCAAACCAGAGCTGAGGAAATTTTCCACATTACCAGAAAGATTACATTTGTAATAATATAAATATGTACAATATAATTCCATTAATAATAAATAATAATAATATAATTTTATTGATAACAATTATAATCCTATTACACTATTTAATTAATATCTGAAATATTCAAATTATACTGTGCTGTTATGTATATGGCTTAAGAGGACTAAAACTTGTATGTACTATCATTAGCCTACATATAAGGAAAGGTATATAGAAATAAAAATATCTACCTTTTTAGATAAAAGGCACATATACTGGAGTATAGCAGTATCACCCAATTTAAACRAAATCCCAATGCCTTTGATTCYACCCACYTGTCACAAAATGCTGAAYGGAAGAGCACMRGCAAATTAAACATTTTTCTATTTTATAGAAAGGACAGAGTYGATAAACATGTYGATTTTTAYATTTATTTGACAAAATGGTGTACATAGTATTAATCTTTGCAGAATAATAATTGTGTACACACACAGTGGATGGTTTTGAGACCATAGTTAGGGACACAGTGTGTGACAACATTGCACAAACAGTTCTTCCACAGAATCTTATCTTTCCAGTATTCAAATATATAAAATAGAGTGCAACTCTTTTATTTATGGTGGTGAGGTAAACATTTCTTCCTTCAGAGCAGTGTGGYTTTTATGCACCTTCAAGAGGGCTGCTAACAATACCCTTCTCCTCCATTCTGCCAATAACGACAGACCTGGTGGCATATTTATTGCTGYTCTAATGGTCACACATTTTTTCCTTGAGCAATATGTAGAGAAAAGAATGSAGAAGGAAAAACCTGCAGGAACTGATGATAGCAGCCTATCTACACTGTTTGTGTTAARAGCCAAAGATTAGTGCAGATAATTTATTTAGAATGTAACAGTTTTAATGGAAATGTCAAGAAAAATTTATTTACGTTTTTCTAAGTAGAACACGGTATTGATTAGAGCTGCTCAAAAAATCACAATTAGGAATTTATTTCACAAAGTTTTATATCTCTGCCCATTTACAAGACCAGATCATAATATCCCCTCATTTGTTCACTGTTCAAATTTATTGATGATTTTCAGCACACAATTCCTGGGCAGGGTGAGATTTGTACAGAGTTCTTTAGTTACACAAGCTCTTTACTATTTTCTTCTGTTCCCAGAATGAATGATTTGTGTAACTAACAGCTTGAATTTTGACTGTTACAAAAGAATATATAATCAAAATGAATCTTGGTCAATACCTGAATACTGAAATTTAGATTTCTTTTTTCATGTAGGTGTTTTTACTGATGCTTGAGAAGTCAAGTACTTTAAACATTGAAAAGTTTGTGCTTTATTCCCAATTAATTAAAAATAGTTTCTGGAAGTTAAATCAACTGAAGAATACTCCATGCTCCTGAGAGAAAACTGCTTCAGTTTCTCATCTTCCTGTGAAACCTCACAGCAGTGACACACAAAAGAGATGATCTTAAAAAGTTAGCAGCCATTTTCTTAGTGGCAGAAACATCTTCYCTGTATGGCACTGCTACACCTGGAAATACAGCAGGGCATTTCCAAAAACTCGGAAATAAATGAATCACATTTCAGTGGTTTATAGGCACAGTGAGAGTGGGAGTTCCTTTCTCTACCAACTATTCAATCCCTTTCCCTATCGTGAGGTATCCATTGGCATCAACAAAAGAAAATCATCTTAAGGCAAAACCAGTGATTTCTAAAAGAAGAAAATACACTTCATTGATTTGAATAAAAATAGATACTGTAAGCATAGCTTTTAACATGATTGCAAAAGTTCATAAAAAATAKAAACCCGCTATTAGTTTGCTGACTCTTTACAATATAAAAACATGAATGAAAATATTGTGAAATAGGTGACCTRAAAGTGTTTGAAGAACAATTCTGTTGACAGAAGCAAATTACTAATTATTTTGTCTTATCATGAGTTTATCAGTGATAATTTTGGAAGGAGAGACAAAAAAAGAGCTTTATGCAGTGCAGTATTACTTATTAAATCGTGAGTAACAAAACTACCAAAATTAGATAAAGGCCTACAAACTTTTCAAGATTGTAGCTGCAAAGTTTCTGAAGGCCAGCTTGGCCAGAGCTGGCCACGTATCACCAAGTCCACCAAGCCTGAGGATAGCTTGGAGAACTCCATGAATCCTCTGAAAAAATATCAGAATTATGTCCTGTGAAACACGCATACTTTCCAGGAGATTAATCCTCAGGGTGTTATTTTTTGGCCACACTTGCCACTGCCTTCTTGGCTGCATCCTCAAGGTCGTTGGCAGACGTGATGGGGAGCCCACTTTCACTCAGGATGCGCTGGGCTTCGCGGACATTTGTTCCTGAAAAAGAATTAGTAATTAATAATAATTCCTGACTAGAATGAGTAATTAATATTAATGAATATATGAACATCTCCTAACACATCACTGAAATATCAGCTAATGCTTCAAACTGCACATCACATCAGTTTGGTGACACTCGAAATGAGTGGCTTAGGCTGAGCTGAGAAGGAGCTCTTAATTCCAGTGACAATGGTGACAGACAATGCAACCTGATAATGGCACTTGTGTGCACAGCAGGGGCTTTGTGAAGATTGCAGGGTCACTGCAGCATCCCCTGGAGTCAGCAGGGACATCCAGCAAGAGCACTGGATAATGGAGCACCTACCAGGCTCCAGGACACTCTGAAGATTAGAGGTGTTTATTAGGCACAATCAGCTACAGCTCATCAGTGAGTCAACAATAACTGGAACTCACCTGTGATAAGTGCAAGGTGGAAAAGTGGCTGCTGCAGAGCAGAGATTTGGGTAATCCTGAAAATTTAACCARGTTTAAGCTGCTCTTGAATATGCTTTTGTATTTCTACTGAAAACAGGGAATACGAAGGTCTCTGAAGTATSCAGCATGACACCATTCCCTCCTCTGCTGCTGCACTAAATTATTATARTCACAGAAAYATTTAGGYTGRAAAAGACCATTAAGATCTTCRAGTMTGACTGTAAAMMSARCAYTGSCAAGTCCACCAATAACCCATGTCCCTGAGTGCCACATCTACCCCACCTCAAGGAGAAAGTAAAAGTTACACAGCACRAGGGCTCCCTTTTGTATGGAAAAAGCTCAGTTTCAGTCAACAGACTAAAGCACAGGAAAAGAAAAAAAATCCAAAGCTGAAAAACATATTACAGGAAAACACATTCCCCCCACTTTTTTCCACTTGTCTAAAAGACAAGAGCATCACCTTTCCATTTACTCGATCTCATTCTTTTTGGAAAACTAAGACAAATAGAAAATCTGAATTCTCCAGTGAAATTTCTTTTCTCCACCAAAGTCAAGTGAATCTTTTGATCCCTGCTGTGCTCTGCACCATAGAAGAACCTGGGGTTAGTTATCCCACTGAGAAAGCAGAATCCACACTTTGGGATCACACACTAATGACAGGCACAAGGACCCTRAGCTGATCCTCTTTAGAATAATTTCTGTCCTCCTCCTCTATGTCATGTTCCTTGTTCATTTGCCATGTCAAAATGCTTAATTACTTTGTAATTCCTAGACCTAGCAAAATGAATTTTAATTATATTTGGAGCTATACACTAATTATACCCTTAATTATTAACCAAGCAAGACGCATACTCTTCACTGTGCAACTTCCAGAATGCTCATTTTAAAGGACGATTTTTTWAATTTTTTTTTTTTTTTTGGGGCAGACTTCATAAAGCATCTGAAATGGTACAAGAGAAGCAGAGCATTTCAAAAGCCTGTTTCATCAGCACGCTCAAGTCAGGATTCCCACTCCTGGTGCTGGAAAGGACCAAAACCATCCCTGTCACAGTGTGATGGGAGAGGCAGGAGTCAGGAGGAGGAATTTGGGACCCCATCTGCTCCCTCTGCAAAGGCATTGGCACAACAGGTCACGCTTCCCATCGATGTGCAGAGGACACGCTGTAGGGTTTGTGTAGGAAGGTCAGAGACATCTGAAATCTTTGACAGAAGGGGGATTTGGTTGCTTAGTAACACCCAGAACTGTGCAGAACTTTTTCTGCAGGAAAAAAAATAATGTTATGGGTGAAAAAAGGAGAATAATATTTGATTTTTGTTCAAGCATCCTATAAAACATAACGTGGAGGCTGCTACTCATCAGCCCAGCACTGCAAGGGGAGGCAGGAGCCATTCCCAAGGTTCTCTTCTCTGYTGAGTCCCTCAAATTTGTACAGTGATTCCCAACAAAACTCAAAGGTTTTGTCTTTTATTTAGACACAAGTGTGATAAACGTTTAAAACTGGAGATTGTACCAATCACTCAAATAGGATTATACAAGAGMAAGTGTTGTCAGGAGAAAAATAAAGGAAAAAGGGAAATTTTCCTGGAAATTTTCCCACACAGAAAAAAAATATTGTGCTATTGGTGATAGCCATGTATTTAAAACTAACTTTTGCTCTTCACTAAGTGGCCAATATTAATTTACTAACGGGTCAGAGAGGGAACAATACATTGGATCTGTTCTGCACTGCATTGATTGCTCTCCACACCACTTGTCTAACATGCATTACAAAATCAATACAAAACACAGGCCCCTGAGAAGGGAGGGGGAGTTTATGCAGGGAAATGAAATGATGAAAGATGAAAAAAAAAAACAAAAAACCAACATACCTCATTGTAGTAAAAAAAAAGTACAAGTACATTTTGTATTTCTTAAATAAAACACTTTTATAGGTAGGCCATACACCTAAACACACTTTTCAGCAAGCATTTCCTTTGCTATAGTTTTCTCTTTTTTAGTGATAGCCTTTTATATCATTGTGATTAAGTATTTTAGCTGTGTGGAGAATATGGAAATTATAATGAGCCTGCTAAAATGTTTAAAATTAAACATTCAGGAAACACTGGAAATGCTTAGGAATCTACAGAGAGTACCACCTTCTTGCAACAGATGTTAAAATAAACAAATAAAGAATCCCACTATTCCAGCATTAACCTCCTGCCACTGGATGGTGTCAGAGATCTGTAAAGAGAATCCCATACCCAGGCTATCAGAATAATCTGCCCTTCACCTGCCCTGCAGCCAGCTGAGAAAAGGTGAAAATTCACAGGGCTGGAGGCTGTAGGGCTTTTGTTGTTGCTGGGTTTTACTGTTTGGGGTTTTTTTTTTGTTTTGTTTGTGTGTGAGTTTGTTTTTTTTTAAACTGGATTCTATGAAGAAAATGGCTTTGTAATTAGAAAAAGAAGCTTTTGTCTTCTGACACATTTTACTGTCAACAACACTCCATGGAAAACCTGAGAAGATTTGATTTTATTGTCATGAACCTTCAGGTTTTATAATCTAAACATCCTCCTGCTGAAACCTGGGTTCTGGAGCAGCCCCTCAGTCAGGTAAATGCAATCCCTCACATTTACACTGAAATCTCTGCTATCAGTGGCAAAGCAAATGTATTCAACTCATTACCAAAAATAATTYTAATAATAAATATTCTGCCTAAGCACGTCTCTACCAATGGTAAGATTACAGCAGCACACATTGTGAGAGGTAGAATGAAAATCAAACAAATAAAACTCGCCCAATCATACTSCATACACAGGATTTGGATAACGTTCCCTTATTCACTTTCACTGTCATAAACCCACCAGGAGCAGGTTAAATTGTCACTGTTTATTGCTGATGGCTACAGAGGATGCAGGGTTCTGCAGTGCCATTTCTGGCTTTTCAGGTAAATAAGCTCTAAGGGGATAAGACACTTACATGCATTTGGGCTGCGCTAACAAATGGAAAAATGATGTAAAAAATACTCTGACAGACCCAAAATATTCTGCTATGACAAAAAACTTCACAATATGMAAAATGTCAAAAAATATTAATGACATGACATGTCTCACTGCCCTTAGCAAGGGTCCAGCTTTGCCATTCTGCACTGCTGAGTGCACGGAGCCAAATCTCCCCCTGGCACAGGTCCAGGCTGGGCCATCCCTGTCAGCCCAAAGCTGCAAACTCGGGGCCTCTCAGGTCCCAAAGACAGCTATTGGAGAAACAGGCTTGAAATTCATCACAAGTTAACCTTCTGTCAAGAGCATTTGATCTGGCTGCTGACAAGATTTAATTAGTGACCATTAGATAGGGAATCAATGAAGTTTTGGTGGCTTACACACCTTACACCTGCAGTCAAGAATAAACCACCTTCCACTGCCTGCCTRTAGGAGACAAACTCTATTCTGTCCATTCCATTTGCCCTTTTCTCTCTTAAATTTTCCCCAAAGAATATTTTAATCTTTTCCTCTGCCTCATGTTTACACCCTAACAGGAAAGGGCACATTTAATTTTCTTCTGAATGTTTAAACCCAGGATGTCTGAAAAGGCTGATCTGAATGAAGTTGTGTGACTTTGCAAYATCCCATTGCTCTCTCTTGACTGGCAACTAAAAATCAAAATATCAGGCATACATACTAAACCATACTTGAGAACAAGATAMACAAGCTGGACAAAACTTCCACTTGTATGTAAAAGATTTCTGAGGATATTAGAAAATTTTAGATTCTGAAGAACACAAAAGGTTGCTAAYCACATGAATGAAAAATATAAAAAGAAATTTTGCATTCAGACATTTGAATAAAAAGCAACTTGTTTTTAGCTGAGTTTCAGCATATTAAGTAGCTCTAATTCCTCCCAGCTCTTTCTGTCCTGTGACCGGAGAAGGAGAGAATTCATTTTTTGAAAGAGAGAGAACATAAAATTTCCAGCAGAGGAGGCAGATATCTAATTCACAATTCTTTTTTTATTCTTCCCTCTTTTCATCTAACTCTGAGCTACGTAAATGAGAAGCAAGGTTTGGCTTTCCTTCAGTGCTCTTAGTCAGTTTTCACAAAATTTAACTGAAGTACATAACATTTTAAAGGGTAAAAAAGCCCTGCATAAACCCATCAGCAGTTAGTTCTCTATCTGCAGAAGATGAAATATGGAATATGTGGCTTCTCCATTTGTCCATGAGCTTTTTAAATAATAATCCCATGTCTCAGCTGGTGAGTTCTTTACTGATAAGGCAAGCAAACATATGTAATTATAAAGTTACCATTTTCAAAGAGGAGAGTAATCCTTTCTTTATCCACTGGTAAAACGGCTTGTCATTATTATACAACTGAGAACAAAGATTTGCCCACAGAATCCTACTAAATCAAGACAGATTTGACTGATTAAAACTCCAGTCATCAAGACACTTGTAGTACAGTGCATGTGGGCAAAGGGTCTTTAAAGTGCAGGTCACAAATCTGTTAGATTTATGGGAATAATCACAAACCTTCTGTWGGGAAAATGTTCAAAATGGAAACCCAAAAGASTGCTTGTTCCTTTTTCTCCTTTTGAACTGTAAAATGTTATCAGTGATGTTTTAAAACGTCTTGGGTAGAATTATTACTTCCCCAGTACTCATTATTAATTCAAAATCCTTACAAGTTTAAATAACCCGGTGTGAGTTCAAAGAACAATGAAGACGATTAAGGATCCAGAGGGATTGATTTCTGAGGAAAGATTAAAAGGACCAAACATACATGGTACTGCTTGGTTGGATGATWAAGGARGCAGAGAAAGCAGCAGGGACTGGCYAGCAGTTCCAGAGTACAACATCTGAAAGTTGTGATCATCATAGCTCTTTGTTTAGGATGAACACAAGGAGTAAGAGGAGGAATTAAAAAACTTTTGAGCGAAAGATTATGCTAAAGTGGGAGTTTGCCATATTTTTCTGGAAGTGAACTTCCTAAAGAAAATGTGGTACAATCATGGAATTATCAAAATTATTGGAGAAAGGTCAAGCCAACTTGGCAGCAGCAGACCCAGCAGAATGCAGTTTGAAATGAGCAAGTTGCTCTTCTCGTTTCTCTTATTACAGTTTCAAATATCACAACAGAAGCATCTTGTTCATAAGAAAAACAAATGGCTTTTTCAATATCTTCACTTAAAAACCAGTAGCTACAACAGTTGAGAAGTCTTGCAGATCTGACAGATAAACATTTTCCCAGCTGTGACAGACAGGAAATTTTTTTTTTGCTATGACAAAAAGTGAAGCAACCTTGCCTAGAGCTGATAAACAATGAGGTTTTATATAATGAAACTTTTCTGCTTCTAACCAACATCCATCAGTCTCTCCTTCATCCATATTAAACTTTGTACTTAGTCTCTTAAGGTGTYGACTGGTGCTGCGTCATTCAAAGAAAATTTTCACGATTTGTTTCTAAAATCCATTTTAGAGTATTTAAATTTCCCTGCAMTAACCACAGCAAAAGTCATGCCAGCATGAGAATGAGGGAGGGGAAAGCTCTGCTTTCTCCTGAAACACAAAACCAGCATCCCCCTAACCAAAGGGCTCTGAAGAACTGGACATATTTTACTGTGCAGGATCAATCTRTTTAGAAGAAGAAATTTCAGGTGAATACTGAGAACCTGAGAGATGGTTTTGGTCTGAATCCAGCAGCACTCACCTTCCAGTCTGACCACCAGAGGTACTTTGAGCTCCAGCTCCTGACAGGCTTTGGTGATTCCATTGGCAATGATGGCACAGTTCACGATCCCACCAAAGATGTTCACAAGGATTGCTTCCACCTGTAGGAAAGAAAACAAGGAGGAAAAAGTGAGGCTTTGTTTATGCTTTGTTTTCACTTTGTTTTTTAAATAAACACAGGGAAAAGATCCAAACCAGGGYACCAAATCCCCTCTGGCTGGCAGGTTCTCATTTATGGAAGGTACGAGCTTCACCTCTGCACTCTGAGAACTTCATTCTGAGTCTGTTGTTGCTCCAGTGTACAGCAGTGATTAATTGTCTTGSTCTAAACTGGCACGATAATTAATGTCATAAACAAAGTATTCTATAAAAAAGGGGGAATTTCTACCTATAAATATAAAWAAAAAGACCTTAATCTATAGTTTGATTTTTTAAAATGTATTGAATAATCGTCAGAGGCAGGAGCTCAGAAAACATGGGGTATGAATGTGTGATGCACATGCAATGAAATATTCATGTGGACACCTCACAAAACAACCTGGATCTTTATCACAAGCACTACAGAGGAAAAGGTAATACACTTGCCCTGATTTGATAAAGAGGAGTAAAAATCCCTTCTAATTAACAAGGAGAGGCATGTAATGAAGAGCATTCATTACAACAGGTTAACTGATAACCTCAAAAAACTGCTATTCATCAGTTTCTGGAAACWGCAATTTCTCCACCCAATTCACAATTAAATTGCCCTCCACAACATACAAGACATTAACACATAAAAGTTATTAATATGATTTCTTTCCACTTGATAAGGCAGCATAAAATTAACCCAAGCCCATGTTCCAGGCTTCCAACCATGCCTTATCATGTTGAGGAGGACACSGTGGGGATGCAGCCCTGCTCTTTCTTATTCCCCAGTGGGGCTAATCCACATTTGGGGAGCTCCACAAGAAGCTTCACTGGGTGTCACAAACAAGCTTTGCCAGAATCAGTGTTGACTCAAAACCCGACAAGATAAAGAAGGGATTAGGTCTGAAGGAATGAAATGTCACTACATTGCACTGGTGCACGATGTCAGCTGCAATTATGCTTAACTCACTGCACCAGAGGAAAGAATTCACTTTGCCCACCTTCAGGTAGCCAGGCTCATACCAGCACCAGGAAAATTCCCTGGAGCCATGCACATTTATAGCTCTGCACCATCAGGTTTCATATTTCCCCACAGAYAAAATGTGACAATTAACTCTGGTGATGTGCACTCACACACAGTTCAGAGCTGGTAGTAACACTGCCATCCACAGTACAAAAGGAAAACAAAACATCTCAACAAGTGCTTTACTTCCCATGAGACAGGGACACCTTTCACCAGGCCAGGTTGCTCAAAAGGTGATCCAGTGCATTTTCAGTTCAGCCTGAGTTTGACTCATGGTATGGCTTCCTCATCCCAGGCAGAGCACAGGMATCAGAAGGGAATTTATAACCCAGTCAAACAAGAATGTACAATTTAATTTATTTTATAACTCTTCCTTAGAGTTTAGACACTTTCTTGTCATGCTAAATGCATGCATTTACCAGTTAATGGTTTTCTGGATATYAAGGCAGCGATACCATTGAAATTATTTTACAAGTATAACGTCAAAACCCTTCACACTGCAAAAGCTACCAAAAGTAAACCCTTAGAAGGCCCCTTCTCTGCCTTGTTCCCATTGCTCGTGCACACACAAACATTCCTAGTTTTAGGAAGTAAAAAAACATAAAAGAAAAATGAAGCCCTTCCAACTCTTATCTCATTAACACTTGTGGAAGAGATATCTATGTGCAAAACACTTTGGTGTTAAAACATTCTGGTGATGGATTCTAACAGTGGGACAAACCCCAGACACTGCTCCACCCTTTCTAATACATCCTCCTAATTCAGGGACATTGCACCAGACATGTGACAGATCAACTTAACCAAGTGTGTTTACATTATTAGAGATAAGGAGGAGGATTTTATGCCCAGTACGGATATTTTAATTCCTAGCRCAGACTTTTTCATTTAGGGATCTGCTTTTCAGCTTTCAAGCTGAATTCTAATCATGTCTTCTAATCCATTGGCAGCAAAAAGAAAAAAAAAAAAGGAAGGAAATTAGATGCAGCTTGGATAATTGATGTTTGTGTGCTTGGCTTTAATAAAAATACACTGTTAAATTAGAGAGGAGTCTAAAAGGATTCAATCAATAAGAAACTGAATCAGGTAGAGAATTCGATCTTGGGTTTTATTGTAATCTTCCAAATAAGCCAGAGATCAGTTCAAATGATGCTGAGATTCACTTTAACCCCRCTGAAATCTGTGAACATTGTTTATATATGCTTCTGCAGCCTGACTAGATCCTGCATTTCCAGCTGAAAGAACTTTAGCATTCAGACACAGTAGATGGATGAAGAGGTTTTCAGTGTTTCATGTGCACAGAGAATGCACAATCTCTGTATTACTTAAGTCTACGAGAAAAGCAAGGCTCCTGCAGCATATCAGGACCATTATACATCCACATGCTCAGCTCTAATGCATATGGACTATTAGATATATTAAGGAGAGGGCAAACTGCATGCATACAAGACAGGTTACTAAAAAGCATCATTATTCCAATAAACATTTTTACTGACCAGGATGCCTCTTAAGTGTTTTTTCTATTTCAGCAATATTATTATGGAAACAAAAGACAGTAGCATATCCATGGGTAAAGTTCTTTTATGGACCACAACAACTGGCAAATGTGAAATCCCCACCAAATGTACTGGCAACTGATGATGGATTCCTCTGGAGAAATAAGGGAACCCACAAAAACATGAAGACATCACCACCAATGTTGGTAAAACCCCACAGTCTCCCAGGCCTCAGCACCAATGCTGGGAAGCCAAAGGGCTTTCTTTCTTTATACAAGAAAATATTTATGTACAGCTCTATCTATATAAAATTGAGGTTACTTTATTAATAAACCAGTTTTAATTTACACTCATTTTTTGGGTAAAATCAGCCTTGACAAAGCTGCTTTAATTCTGCTTTGAATGTTTGGCAGCAAAAGAAGCCCCACACTACAAATAAATGTAATTGYGTACTAACCAAAGTAATGGTGTTGGGAGATTACTGTTCCAATTGTATTGGATCATCAACATGATGAACAAGGCTGCCACGTTCCACACAACCAAGAGCATTTTAGGTRGAGCAGGAGCAGCTTTAGCATACCTGGCTGCCCTCTAAAAATCAGACAGAGTGTGTGCATTTACTATATTCTCTTCTTATTACTGTTATACTGCATTTAACTCAGGCTGARGTTTCAYARTCACTGGGARATGACMCAAACATGGGCAGCCCCACAAAGARGTTTTCCTGCTYTSCCCCTTCCTCCCCTTCATATAAACACCCCTCTCCTGTGCCTGGTGTCTGCTTGTGTACTTTTGAGAACCTCTTTCCCAACCCTTGCCATTATCTCGTCTGATGACAGCAAAGATTTGCAATGATTTCTGATTATTAGAGTGTCCCATGYGTGCCTTGAGACTTTGTACACATCTTTTCTTTTATATGCACATACAGATGTTCACTCACAGAGTGAACTATAAATATTATAAAATCACCGATATAATCTCTGACCTTGCWGGAAATCGTGACTTTGAAGTTCAATCCATGTATTTTAGATGAAAACAAKCTATTCAGCAACTGTCAGTAAAACTACATCTGCAGCACATTAAAAGCTACACCAGCAAAGAACGTGCTCATGGTTTGTCTGATTGAAATATGAAAAGAAACCCTTTTATATTTCAAGTGAACTGAATTCATTTATTGACCACTCCTAACTCTTTCATCAGCTGGGAGTGTACCCAGTGTGAAAMAGATTTTATTAGTCAAGTTTTCTTCTCCAGGATGCCACAGGGCACATCTCTGTGGAAGATGGGGTTTGCATGGTACAGCTGGCAGACACATTCCTGCCTGGAGGCTCCTAGAATTTTTTGAGGTTATAACATGCATGATGACTCCCAAACTTTCTGGTCAGCAGTGTCGTATTTTGTGTCTGCAAAAGCAGATTCTTTTACCAAAAGCAGCCATTAAGTTGCCAGGAAATAAACAGGAAAAGCAAGGTGGCAACTCACTGCCAGGCATTTGTTTCTTCCCTCCTTCCTTGAACACAACAAACACCAGTGGAAGGACAATAGCTCAAATCACTCAAACATGTCACAGACTGGGGGAAGCTGCAACACAAGCACTGAATATCCAGATAAAATCCCAGCCCAGAGGAAAGTAAAGGTGCTGTCACCTGCACTTGGATCCAGACACCCAGTACTGCAAACATCAGAAGTCTAACAATCACTGCCCCATAAAACTTTTATATTCCCATTCTGATTTTCAGAGATGTTTTACACCTCAAATCCCAGGGAATCCCAGTTAAAAAAAGAGCAGTGCCTTTTAAGATGTAGATAGCATTATTAAGAAAAGAACAAACCACTGGGTAAAATGGGATACATAGCTCTTCACTTTGAATCTAATGTAGTGCATTTAATCCTTCCTGTTAGTCTTAGTTGGTCTTTATTATTAATTCATTCATAGTTTACCAAATTTGTTTCAATGTGAAAGAAGAAGATTATCTCCAGTTCTCAATACAAAGTAAYAAAATTTAATAAAAGTCAGATGCCATATACTTGCATCTTCACTATCCTTYTGCTCCAACTGATAAGTCAGATACATTTTTATGTATCTCTATATTATTACAACTTGGAYCACAGGTCAAATGYAACTTTTTCYTATTCAGTTTTGAAATATTACTCTWATCCTTTATCTTTTTCTATCAGACAACATTTATGGTTCATTTGAAAATAAAGATAAAGCTTTCTGAATCCGAGCAATACAGAAGATTAACAAACAAAAAAACATTTGCTTGAAACACCCACTAGAGGACAGTGCAATTCAATGTGGAAAAGGGATGTAAAAATCTCTTTGGAGAGGAGGTTTGTTAAAGCCAAACGATATGACTTTGCTTTACAAAAATTATGCAAAATATCATTCTGCCTCTTTGGGATGGAACTTTGAAAGTCTGAAAGTGATAACTTTAAAGAGGTTGAATCAACAAAC